GAAAATTTGTATTTCGACATACCGCGGCATTTCAAAAGCTGGTTTCCATGAAAAGACCGATAGCATTTGTATTTTAGCTTCATAACATTCAAGCGAAAGTGGAGGAATAATTGCACAACTGTCGTTACACACGAGGCGTCCTTTTTGAAAAGAAAAATATACTGCCTCACTGACAACGAAACGTAGGGTGCCGCATCCATTCGAATCAAGGACTGCCCGGCACAGAAATGGAAAAATTATGCGTCAAATTCTTTTACCTCTTAGCTTTATTCAGCCTCACACACAATACTTTGAATTTCTGAAAAATTTGGCGGGACTGTGCGGTCCGCTTCCCAAAGCACTTACCCTATTTAAGACCAAGGTCCGCGATTTTTCTAGCCTATTTATGTCCTGACCCTTAAATTAATACCCTGTTTCAGACCTGCCGTAGTTCTCTAGTTAAGAATGATGTTAAAGGTATTGTGAATGGCTTTAGTTGCTGGTCTTATCGAAAAAAGTAGCTTCTTCTAAAAACATACCTAATTCAAGACTAGAGTGCAAAAACCATACCCAGTTTGAGGTCAAAATGATTAAAATCGATACCCTACTTCTGATGAAAATGTCTTAAAAAAAACATGTCCTTCTGACGCTGGACATACCTAAATAGCCGATACAAGGGAAAAATTTTCACATTACATGTACGTGACATCTTGAAGTCGAGAGTCATAAATAAATTGTACTGCTCAAACAACGTTTATTAGAGTTATTTACCCCCGTACTATTTATCATTTGGTTGTTCATTAGGGTTTGAGACAGGGGGTTTGGGACCAGAAAAGTCTGAATCGAGACGATATGCGGAACACGTGTAACAGGCTTCTGAGGGCATAGGAAAATTACGCTCGCTTGAGGAAGTACTCCAGTCTTGATCAGCAAAGGTCAGCAACAGAATTCACAGCAAAACAGGAAAACGTATTTGCTATAAGTGTTAACTGGCATAAAAACGTATGGAACGAAACTTAGCTTAGTCCACGAACTCTCCTTGCCCGCGCCCTATATGGGTTGACTTTTGAACCCAGGCGGGAGAGACCGCGCCATCGTGACAAAGTTGCCACCAACCGTGGAGAAGCATAGAACAGTTTTCATCATGAAAATTGCACCCTGCGAGGGTCCCTGTAGTTTTCCTGCTGGAAAACAGGTTATTATTGTTCCGAGTTCTTCCGAGTTCCGAGTTCTTTCGATTCAAGAGACAGTCACACGGTGCAGTTTGCATGATGAAAATTGTCCTGTGCCTCTCCTCTGTTGGGGGCGACTTGGGCGCGGTCGCCGAGGAAGAATTTCATATCCCGTAACCAAGATGTAACTAAGGCTTGCCACAAGTTGCTCGGCAACTTTTTGGCAACTTTTCGTGTTTCGAGCAACTTTTTTTGTTTCGAGCAACTTTTTGCATTCTGATCAATTTCTAGTTTTCTAGATATCGGGGCAGCTTTTAGGGCCTTAATTGGCCATGCTTCCATATTTTACAATATTTCAGTGGACAATTTGTGAATTTCCTGTGAGAAAAGAGCAGTTCCTCCCCCCTGGGGCAGATTATGGGCGAAAGGTTGGGCGAAAGATATATGCAGCCGGGCTGTTGGGTCAGCGATTTTTTAAAGAAAATCCAAAATAGCGGACGAAGATTCACGTTCCACTGATTCCAGTGTTTCAGGTTACGAAGGTCATTCAGATCCTTTGAAGGTAGCCGCATAAGCAGGCGCAAGACTGAGTACTCCAGCGAAAATGAAAATGGTTAGAAGTCTTGACCGTGAACAGCAACTTCAATTTTATCGGCTAATAATAGAATTTTTACAAGACAAATATTGTTATATTGATATTGATGCGTAGTATTTACTCATACGTATTGTGAACAAATTTATTCAGCGACACTGGTTACAACGCAAAATTGCACAAAAATGCTCAGAAATTTTACTTCTGTTGTACAGATTGCATATTTTTGCATCAGACCAAACAAAAGAAGGGAGAGGCAAAAAAACTTTTGCTTTTTGAAGCAACTTTTGAGCAGCTTTCGTTACAAAAAGCAACTGTTGACTTTTTTTGGAGCAACTTTTGAGCAACTTTTTGAGAAATTTCAGGCAACTTTTTTTGGAAATCTCGAGCAACTTGTGGCAAGCGCTAGATGTAACTGTCTAGGTTAGATATTAGTGACGTTTCCGTCAGATCGTATTTCAGAACCTCGTGCGTTTTTACCAGTCATCTGTGTGCATGGTCTGTGTTTTGCGTTTGCGAAGTTGATTGCGTTTATTGGGAAGTTTTTTGGATCCTGCGTTTATAACTACTCAGGCGTACAGAGAGGACAGTCGGTAAGCATGTGTTTTTACCTTTCTCAGTTTC